GAACCTTCGTCTGAACTGAGATTAAACTCGCTTTCACTGGAAGAACCAGACTCTCTGGGGATATAACTTCAGCCATGTTGTCTGTGCTCTGATAACACGATACCCAATATGAACACACAAGCCACTGCACTGCGATTTTATTCTCAAGCAGCGAGGGCCTAGCCCTGTCAGTCAACGTGGCAAGGGCCAGCAGCGCCCGGGCCGGGTCATTCATGGGGCACAGGTGCATAATGAGTCTGCACAGCCCGCCCTTTGTCTTCAGTGCAGTGCAGTGATAATCTGCTACGAGCGCCCGGCAGCGCGAACAATAGCGTTCTGCACAAACAATACATGGATTACCTCCGCTAATGTCAACGCTCTGTGCTGAAAGAATACAGGGATTGATTGGCAGTGCCCGGCAGCTCTCAGCAGCTCCCAGCAGCTCGTAATTTATTACAGGCTTTTATAAGTTCGGTCACCCCGGCTATAAAATAAAGTCCCAATTTTCCGGCCCCAACAACCCATTATTGCCTAAGACCAATTTATTTACCTCCAATGATGGCCTAGACTTTTTAAGTGACAGCAAGAAACTTTTATAAAAACACCCAGCAACTTTTTTTTTTAATAAAGTTTTGATTTCAGAAACCCCGGCCATGAATATAAGGCCTATGCCTCCGGTATCGGAGCCCCCGGCTGCAAGTGGTAAAACCTTAAAGATCATCAGATTATCACAAAATTAAACTATGTTCGGTAATCTGGTGAATAGCATGCACATCTAAAATCACAACATATTCTCACAGCTGGCTGAGTTCAATCCAAAGCTGTCATCCTTTTTCATCCCAGAAAATAAAGAATGTTTTCGGTTATTTTTAAATTGACTACAACATTTCATAACAGAGGGTTATATTTTCATGTAAGGAAATTTTCTAGTAATATCTTTCAGTCACTTTGATCCCAATTTGGTGAAAATCAGACATATTTGTTTCTCGAGCTGCACCTATTTTTTCAAGAGAGCTCATCAGCCAACAATTTCAACTTTCCCTGCTGATGTGCATGGAAACCGACACAAACATGGTCTTCAAATGACAGCAACAATAAACCCATACATCAGATGGAGTTGACACTTCCCATCTGTGCTGATAATGAATGCGTCTATGTGCATGCCAAGTCTAAAAAAAGATTGGGCATATAAAACTCAAGTTCAAAATGGGGTGTGGGGATGAAAAGGCCAATAAAATAGTCTGTGAAATTGTCTGAAAAAAAAGCTATTCTGGGGCTTAATAATATTTTCAATTGCAAAATTTTCCAAAAGATTTTCTTACAGCACCTTTGCCTGTGAATTCAGTGTTGCTCATTTGAAGAAATAATGAAGCCAACATAAAAGTCGCAACATAATAGACACAATCTGTTCCTTACTTCTATTAAACATTTCCCAGAGGTTTGTGAAAGAATCTATCACTACTCACCCACAAATCTTCATCAAGAAAATGGACTCTTCAAGATGGCGGACCACTGTAATTGCAGCACCGAAAGAAAGAAGGGAATAACAAATTTGGTGAAGTCCTCAGTAATTTGATGCAATCACTAGATATTTGTAAATAACTCATACGAAAATCTTCAAATTTACTCTGCAGTGTGTGACTACAATGCATGATATTATTGAGACTAGAGTAAAGTTTGGTCTCTCAATTCGGGGTGGTGTCAGACTCATGGCTACCTGCCCTTTTTTGTTGCTAGAGCTAGAACGAGGATTGGTAACTCAAGCCCGGAGTGGTTAGAGGCTAACATTCACCTGCTGGTTCATGTTGCTCAGACTGAAGCTAGGATTGGTCAGTCCAGCCTGGATGGTTAGAGACTCAAGTCACCTGCTAGTTCATGTTGCTGAGACAAGAGCAAGGATTGGTCAGTCCAGCCTGGATGGTTAGAGACTCAAGTCACCTGCTAGTTCATGTTGCTGAGACAAGAGCAAGGATTGGTCAGTCCAGCCTGGATGGTAAGAGACTCAAGTCCACCTGCTAGTTCATGTTACTGAGACTACAGCTAGGATTGGTCAGTCCAGCCTGGATGGTAAGAGACTCAAGTCCACCTGCTAGTTCATGTTGCTGACATTACAGCTAGGATTGGTCAGTCCAGCCTGGATGGTTAGAGACTCAAGTCCACCTGCTAGTTCAT